ATTGTTGGAACTAAAAGGGGTAAGTGATTTGTCGAGATATTTACAGAATATCATACAATAGGAAAGAATCACAGGGCATGTCGACTGACATCGCAGGGCGTGTCGACCGAGACCGCATTTCGTGTTGACACAAGGGGCGTCGTCTCGTTCGGTTGGGCTTCGTGTCGACTAGCTTCGAGTCGACTAGCACTGCCTTTCGAGTCGACATAAGGGGTGTCGTCTCGTCTGGTCGGTTGCAATTCCTTGGTCGGTTGCAATACTTTAATAAATTGCTCATCTGCCAAGCTTTAAATATCAAAACGGCACTGAACTTATTTCATAGATTATCTCCCATTTTCTGGATACAAAAAAATATTCTCTAATTTTACTCGTATATATTCTCACAATGCTAAATCATTGAAACTAGCAAAAATGTTTTCTCCAGAATCTTCACTTTCTCCACCTCTTCACTAGTTTTCCACAAATAACCGTGCATCAGATGATTCTTTATTACGCTATTAGCACTGCATCTCCCAGAGGAGTCCAAATTCTCTTAGAACGCCCACATGCAAGTGAATAGTTCTTACACGCGAATGGTAAAGTAGGCGAGCAAATTGATAATTTGCCCTCCGCATTGGTAATTTGTTCCTGATTGAGATTCACCATTCATCTCTACTCTTAAGTCTAGCAGAAAAGTTAAAAAAATAAATATAGCCTGTTAGTAACAGATATTACAATGTCTTATTTATTTATTTATTGACTTTATTATGAATTAGCCTGTTAGTAACAGATATTACAATGTCTTATTTATTTATTTATTGACTTTATTATGAATTGAATATTCAATTTCCCTAGAGCCTGTTAGTAACAGATATTACAATGTCTTATTTATTTATTTATTGACTTTATTATGAATTGAATATTCAATTTCCCTAGTAACATAGGGAACCAAAGCAGTATTTATCGCAATCATCAACATTCTCCATTTCTCCGCCCTTTTTTTTTTTTCGTGTTACAAGCAAAACTTTCCCACACATCTTCCATTATAAGAAATCCTATGTTATTATGCAATATACATTATGCATGCCTCTTGCTTTCAACTTCGTCCAACTTGTCTAAGAAAATTTTACTACAATATATAGCTAAATGTATTTAATTTCCGCCTAACGGCACTGCCACGATCCTTTGGCTTGAAAAATTAATACAATACTTTACCTAGAATAAAAACTCTGTATCCATGAGATCGAATACCTTATGTGAACCCTTTGACTTTGCCCCGGGCTTGAACTGGTTACCTTCAATGTACCTGCAATCAACTCATATAGAGTAAGTACCCTTCTCAAAATTCTTCAGAAAACAGTAACCTAATACTTACAGTTCTTTGAGGAAGGGGTGTTTGTACAGTGCTTCAGGAATCCTCCCAGTAAAGGTATTGTGGTCCAAGTACCTGAGGTAACCAAAAAATTGATTGAAATTTAAGTCCTTTTTTTCTTTTGGGAATGAAACTGGTTTAGAAAATAGACTAGACTTACAGATAAGTAAGTCTAGGGATATTCGCTAGCTTTGCAGGCACTGGTCCAGCCATTTTGTTGTAAGATAGATACCTAAGACCACAAATATAAAGAATGACTCGTAAATGTTCCATCCTCATTATATCAAGCTGGGTATGTCGAAGAGAAGCACTTACAGAATTTCTAGATTGGTAAGGTTTGCAAGCTGATCTGGCAAGCCTCCACCCAGCAGATTATTGTTTAGATATCTGGTTTGTAATTCAGAACTAATCATTTACCCACCAAAATATGACATTGCTCTAAATACGTAGATTGAAAACCAAACCCCACTTACAAGTTGCGAAGAGAAGGGAAGCCATCTCCATTGCGGATGAAATCCCTCAACGTTCCTGACAAGTGGTTGCTGCTAACATCCCTGGAGAGTTTACAGCATTGCTTAGCATAACCATTTTAGTAAGCACGTCAAAAAATTGTCACAATGAGGAAAGAGAGGCAGGGAGAGCGTACAGATGTCGTAGATTCTTTAGACTCCCCAGCTCTGGAGGAATTCTTCCAGTAAACCGATTCTCATGAAGATAGAGATAGCGGAGTTCTGGCAAATTTGCAAGCTCCACAGGGATCTCACCTTTGAAATTATTGAAGCTCAGATACCTGCAGTATTGTTAGTCAGATGAATGTGTTAATTTCGATTTCTCAAGGAACAAAGGATACATTAAAAAATGAGTAGCAAGGAGTTTCTTACAAGTGAGTAAGTTTCTTGAGTTCACCAATTTCAGAAGGAAGCACATCTTGAAGCTTGTTCCATCTCAGATTTCTACAAAATCAGGTAATTAAATCAATCAGAAAAATGTCACAAATGAATTCATCGAGCACCTAAAACTTTAATGAGCATCAAAACCCATCATCAATTTGCCCGTGAACTAATAATAAGCACAATGAATTATGATAAATAATTACTTGTTATCACACATATCACATGCGAGCATGTAATCACTGGCTCACTCACATCTATAGAAAGTTTACCTAGAAAATTTTGTAACAGATAAACATCCTTCCTCCGAGCTGAAGCCTCAAAGTAGTACATTAACCACCATTATTTCCTCTATCCCTAATATGTCCTCCCCAATGCTAATTTAAAAATGTGAGCATTATTTTAGTAAATGAGCTCCTTTAATGGACATATAATGCAGTTCTAAATTGAACTCGACATAAAGGGCTGTCAGCCAAGTAGCTATTTTATGTATGAAGAAGATTACTAGTTAACAAGTACAAGATATATGGAAATAAAGCCAAGACCAGATGAAACTTAAGATAGGGAACCTCACCTTCCTTTTCATGTCGATCACCATCAGGGGCACATCCACATAGTGTTCAGTGGTGTCACAGGACAACACTAAATTACCTACTTTATAGATATTTTTTAATTTACTTTGACTTGTATTTACTACTTAACCCTCCGCAAAGCCCACAATGCTGGGAGACTCGTGCACTAGGACATCTTTTTTACCCACATATACTACTTAAGATGCTACTAAAATCAGAGTATAAACACCAGCAAAGCGGTAAAATTCTACAGTTGTAAATGTATATTCCAAGCTTTTTTATGAACTAATAAGCTATTTGAGGACGCCACTGGTCAAAATCCTTGATCCGCCACTGATCGCTATACTATAATGTGCAAATCTTAAAACATCAGTAATATAAGCAAACAGTCTTTTAAATTTTTTAATGTTTCGTCTGCCCTTTAGTGGCCATAGGGTGAGAGTATGTAGATCATTATGCTACAGCAAGAGAGTTCACCACTGTGCCACGGAGGCACTAAGAGCAGAAAAATTTTAAACCACAAAACAAAGAGCTTTGTTGTACATATCTTTGTTCGCTAACTAGGAATACCAAAGGAAAATACATAGAGTTATGTCTAACCCTAAGTCAAGCAAGCAGCAGCCTGAAAATCCATCAACATGAGATCAGCTGATGATAACAACTTGAAGGCAACACAAAGTCTCATTAACTAAACTTTTGTATATTTTTTTTTCAACATGATATTAACCAACTAAATATATTTGGTGGCAAGTTCGTGTCCATGGAATCTGTAGCGAGAAGGGGCTTTCCATAAACCCAGAAGAGTAGAATGAAAACTATTAAACATGTAATTTAGGCTCATACTCTCACACTTATTACATGGAGAAAAGGAGATATGATAACTGGCGGTCCACCTCATCAGAACTAAGATGGCCAGAATTGAAGAACTTTAGGATCCAACCACGATTTATCAGTCACTGAGCCAAAGATATTCCTCCTTGGAGAACACGAAAACCAAAATAATGAACGACACCAGCAACCAGTCTATAAAAGCCAATGGTGGTGACTTTGTCATCAAAGAACCTATCTTTGTCCTACAGTAAAATTTATGATTTATACCTGGTATCTTTATAATCATTCTGCTACATAGATCACAAATTATTAACCATGTAAAACTTAGAAATGCTGCATTCCAGCTAACAACAATACAGGTTCCAGACTTCCAGTTTATTCCAAATCATTTTTAGAGAAAACACATCTTCAGTTGAGAATACAGAACCAACATAAACGACATAGATATACTCTTTCAGAAAATGATAATAAGTCAAAAGGTTCAATAATGTTGGTGCTTAACTTCTCATAAAGTATAAATAGAAAATTGTCAAGATAATGAAACAAGTCAACAATGTTGCACTAAAATATAAGGTGATAGCTAGAAGAGGGAAAACATACAATGATCTGAGGTGCCTCAGCCTTCCAATTTGAGGAGGAATCGGCCCTGTCAACTTGTTGTTATGGAGATCCCTGTCATTGAAAAGAATGTCTACATAAAAAAATTCTCCTCCAGAGAAACATTGAGGTTAGATAAAATGTAATTGTTCTACTCCTAAAACGTACGTTCACAATGGCCTGTTGTGTTACACCATTAAGTATGACACTCGATGACAATAAGTTGCTACAGAAGATTGTGCTAATGAAGATAGTACTAATGCTTCCTACTACTAAGGCTTTACGAACAAGAGAACGGGTTTTATTTTTGAATGGTTTGGATAGGCAGGGCAGATTATTGCTCTATACATGAGTCTAACTAAATGTTCTAAGCTAATTTACCCAACAGATTTCAAAAGTATGCATAGAAAATTACTATCTATGCATTTTGTCAACAACAAAAAGAAAATGTTTATGAATATTGTCCATCATTCTACAGATAGAGAGAAGTTATATGATGACTAAGATGATCCAGACTCCAGATACGGTGTATGTTTTAGTAGCAAACCAACAAAAGGAACCAGTATTTGCATGTAGGCTTGAGGCTACAAAAAATATGTAAACACCTACAAGTCCACAATGTGCAATACACTCATACTAAAGTTAGTAATTGGTAGCATCGCTACACGTGCAGTAGAGATTAAAACACTGCTTCAATACCCCAAGTTGTTCTATTTTTTATAAAATGGTTACTTTAATATCCTAAAGTTTCACTTATCTTTTACTTTTATAACTTGAAGTTTGAATTTATCCAAAATAATATTCTGATAAATTTAAGATCTGAAAATAAAGTTACTAGAACAAGACGTTGTGGCATTAAATTGTACTAAATATTTCAATAAAGTTATGGTTAACACTATTTTCATAATAATAAACAATATTGGAAAATTATAAGGAGTTTGCATTGATTCAAGGGTATATAGTTTTAGAAATAAGGGTTACACTTTTGCAGTTTCCTAAAACTTTTCTTCTGAGAAAAAATTCAATGCATTAGATCTTGAAGTAAAAAATGTTATGTTGGAGGCCTTCTTCGTAAAAGTATTTTTTTTATTGTTTTAATCCTTTGGGGAAGAGGGAAAATGGTGAAGGAAAAAGACAAAAACCTTTGTAGGACAAATCACTGTAGAAATGCAGAAGGTTTTTTACATAACAGTATTGATTATAATCTAGTGGGCCTCCCACGGTTTTTTAAGGTAATAAATACAAACAAATTAGCTAGAAAATGTTCATGTGCTTCTTGAATGTGCATGCCAGGTAGTTGTGATTCTTGTGGACCTACATGGCACAAGTATTTTCCAACAGTAAATATGATACTAAAATTTGCTAATAGATATCAAATATTTGATCAGCAAATCCTGATATTTCATCGACCAGGCATTAGGGTGACAATTTACTACAAAATAACAAGATAATAGAAAACTTACAGCCTCGTTAAGTCCAGCAAGTTTGTAACAGCAGTAGGAAAAGGACCAACAATTGATACTGCATAAACCTCCCTGCATGTGTACAATCATAACACGAGTTGTTGTGTAAAATATCTGGTAAAAACATGGTTTCTACATGGAAATTCATGTAAATAAATTCTCTTATAAAATAGTAAATGCAATGGCAAACAGGTATTAGGTATCAACTATCTTTTACATTGAGAAGTCTATCCTTCATCAAAATATTTCAGGTAGCCAAATATTAAAGACTTATAAACTTTGTCTGCTATCTGTCCAACTATCCAAATGCTAGAGGACATAAGGAGCTATAATAACCATAATAGAGCAGCATAATGAAGAGAAATTTAAAGTTACAAAAATCTGAGCATCCATCATAAATAAGACAGATTTTATTGACATGTGGTAGAAGTTTTCTTGTAAACTGTTGCTTTTCAGAAATGAAGGGACAATATTGATTTTATTAAAATGGAAATTCTCATATGCTAGTTTTAATCATATACAATTTCAGAGAAGATCGTCTGTAAACGAAGGTGAATGGTATTAATTACTCAGTATCTGCATAGAGTTACTGCACAATCTCATGCTCAGATAACCAGCTTTTGAGAATAGGTGAATATTAAGATACGTCAACATTGTTTACAGTTAGTCTTCTTGGTTACATGCAGCAGACATGCAGGATGAAAGCCACTTAAATTTATGGATTCGTTAATTTGTCAACTTAGTTGCCAATAAAAAATTACTGAGCACTTCTTGATGATGTCGGTCTTTGATTAGCATAATGCCAGATTGGGAGGTGACGTATCATGTTGATACAAACAGTAAGTATAGATTGTGACTTTGTGCTAAGAAAAGAAATTTTCCATAAATGTCTGAAACATATTTCTAATTTGAGCAGCAAATAAATGGACTCTCACAAAGAGCTTTCTCCAAAACATACTTGCTCCTTTTGTAGTTGCAGAGCAGCAGATAGATATGACATTCTCGGTTCAACCATAAATCCATTACAGCTCATGAGTGATACACCAAAATCAAGATTTTTGCACATGTCGGGAGAAAAAGTCTAAAGCATGAGGGAATAAGACTGATTTCTTACAATTCAGTTACAACTCGGTAATCTCCTTGTTGAGAACATGTAACTCCAGACCATGGGGGCAGGTCTCCGTCTCCGCATGGATCATCTCCGACCCATGCATAGACAACCCTCCATCCAAGGGAGGCCTTAATTTCATTCAATGCTTTTACTGAAAGAATAAAGTCATTTTTAAAGCATTAGAGAAGAACCAAGAAGTCTTAACATCTATAATAACATGAAATTACAGATAGTCTTTATATCCAAGTGGCAATAAATGATGAACCTTGAGACGATAAAAACTTCTGTTGCTAGAAAGGAATTTTAACTAGCAAAGCAGTATGATAGCCATTTATATCCAAATTGAACCACATGCATCATATCTCCATCTGCACTAAGTTAATAACTTCTCATCAACAGTCTAGGAATAAAGGAAAAAATGGGTTCAAATTTGGTACTAAGTCGTGTTTGGATATACAGAAGTAAAAATTGAAAGAAGGAATAAATAAATTTGTGCACATGCTGGCAAATGAGTCAGAAAGAAACAGATGCACTATTGAATAAAGTACAATTATAGGTTTCATGAGAGGAACAGCGTGGGTAGTGAAATTTCACCTGGTCCTTATAGTTAGGAAACAAAATGTGATAGCAAAAGATACTAGGAGCGAAAAAAATATATACGAGTGAGGAGTATACAGGGATCAATCTCTTTTGCAAGAAACTGAAAAAAGAAAATGTTGAATAACGGTAAGCTACTTCCTACATCGCCCGGAAAAGGCTTTATGAAGTTCGCTCAAGATGAAATGTTTAGGAGTTAGTTCAACATGTTAAGCATGGTCCAAATGGATGTCTATCGACAGGCAAAGAATGTGGTTTGTGTGCTGACCTAGGTATGCGATATAACGCTTAAGATCCATTATAAACCCATATCTCACAATCAGCGAGCAAAATTCCAATCCATTCAGTTTATAGTCGCAAAGATTCCTTTGACGCGTTCGGCGAGGAAACGAAAAAGCATAATTTACACTCATATCATCAAATTTCAGTTTACAGTCATAATAAAGCATCAGTACCTCTACAAACCAGTCTCGGAGAATAGGGATATATTAGTTCACTATTTGAAATTTTGCACTGTTTGCGGCTGTACAAGATTTCAATAATATCAAAATTTTGGTTTTTTTTTGCTTTAACAATCAAGCTGAAGCTAAAAAAAATTACATTAACAGCCAAATCAAGCTGAGCTATGAAACTAATGCAAGGAGATTCGGAGATCTACCGTCTCTTTTAACGGTTTTGGATCGGGCGAAGCTGAGGAGGAGGAGGAAGCAGCAGAGGGATGCTAGGGCCGAGGAGCTCCCCATCGGCGGAGATACGGATCTAGGACGGCGGAGAACCGGATCCGATCGGATCGGATCGGATCGCGATCTGTAAGCGATTCGATTTGAATCTCTAAGCTCCGAGGTTGACTCGGTGATGAGAATGAGATTTTGTTTTCGCAAAAAACAACGCGCTTTGCTTCTTCGGAAGTGCAACAGACTCGTTGGTTTCAGCCAGCAGCCGAGCACTAGTGATGAGCGTCGGTGCCGAAATTTTGCTCATGGGTTAGCATTAGAATTACGATCTCAGGGATAAAGTCAAAATAGCGTACATATTCCAACCTAAATTTTGACTGCGGTCAAATTTAGTTTTTTTCTTTTTTCTTTTTTTTCTTTTCCCCCACCCAGTGTCCCACTGCTTATTGTAGATAGGACTAATTCCAGCTAGGTGGCTGACACTGCCCCAAAAGTTTTTTTTACTTGTTGGGGACTTCGAACATGGGACTATCCCGCAAATGGATTATCCACCAACAAGAATGCAGTAGGGCCTTACACCGCTACATTAACCCTGCAAGTTACTGCTGTCACATTTCTCATTGTTTAGTTGTTACATATTTGGTTGTAAGGTGACGGCTCATTAACAAAATGAAGACACAAATTCACATTATAGATGACTGTTTATTTAGTAAAATGAATTAATAAGATAAAAAGTGGTGAGTCCATACGTTTTAATGTGGCAATTAGTGTAGACCTAATTATATGTGCAACTCTTAGTAACTAATTTTGCAAAATAAGTCGTCATAGTATATTTTTCCCCCTCTTGTTCTCTAAAGTAGGTTGCTTCAAGATTAAAAAAATTGCTAATATGGTATCTTTCTTTGCTAGGATTTTTTTTCGGTGTTTGAATTTAGGTATATATTCTTAAAATAATTTTTTAATATTACATGGGTCTTAAAAATATTTAGGAAATTGAGGCCTTGCGCTTGTGTCCTGCAAGGCTGTGCGCTAGGATACTTTATGGCTAACTGCTTATACCATATAGTTTATCATGCTTTGCATTTATATTCCGTATTTATTTTTGGCAGCATTCGGTGGGGCCCCAAAATTTCATAGGGTCCATTAGTTTTATTAAAATTTTGTATGACCCAAAATCTGGCCCAAATAATATTTATAAGTTAAAACTTACATAGTCATTGAATTGCCTTATTAATTGTGTTGTTGCCATTTAAAATTCCGAAAAGCATGAGATTGATTAATCAATCAAACTAAATAATCGCTTCTATAAGGCAACAAATTCCGAAAATCTGGACTCCTCTTTTTTCGGCAACAAATTTGATTTAGCCGTTTTTTTTTATTTTTTATACCGTTTGATATTTAATTTTTACTTCTAACATTAAATAATTATTAATCTCTCTCCACTATATAAAGGGATTATATTTCTTAGGATAATCAAGAAAAGTTTGTCTATTAAAATTATACTTCTCCATCTAAAATTTGTTCTCAGAGCTACATTGCAATTATTTCATTGGCTATTTGGGCATTGTCATTCACTTAATCAGGTGCTATTATTCTTTTTCTTTTTACTAAGTTGTTTGATTGTAATTGTTTCTGTTATTTGTCTTCAATCTCATAAAATTGTTTAGTTATTTATTTAAAGAAAATGGCGCCTCGAAAATATTTATGCGGAAATGAAAAAAGAAAAAACGAGTAGAAGAACTTGTAGAATCACAAAAAGGAGCCATTGATAAGTTTTTATCAAAAAGTTCTAGTATTCCTGTAGTTAGTGGATCAAATGAAAATTTAAGTGATGAACATATTGTTTCAAGTGAAGATGTTGATGAGCAGTTAGGTGATGATCACGGGATTCAGGGTCAATCTTTACCAAATTTTCATGATGATAATACTATGCCAAGTGAATTTAATAATGAAAATCTAGGTGATGATAGTCAATCTTTACCTCATTTTGATATACTAGTATAGTGCACGTGCGTTGCACGTAGACATACTTAGTTACTGCTGGATAGAAAAATTAAAAAATGTAATATGTTTGTTATAGCTCGTATCTTCTTGTCACCGTGTGATTAATTGCAACAATATGGCCAGCACGTATGACCACCTTTGTTGAACTTACTATGCACCATTCTAATGAAGAATAGATAGCTTTTTTAGAACTGTAGTTGGAGAGTTATGGTGATGAACATGATTTCATTTAAAAGAACTATATGGAGAACAAGAAGAGAGGAAATTAAAGGTTAATCAAATTAAAGTGATTAAGTGAGTGAAACAATATGGTACATAAATGCATTTAAAAAAGGGTATATAAGTGCAAAGGTATGGAAACATTAGGGTATTTAATTAAACTATATTTTATTGTAGGAGAACTCTAATTACATTTTTTGAGAAAGAAATCTTTGCCAAAAAAAATACTTATTTCTGCTAAAATCTGGCACACAAAGGAGGAAAGCAACAGTTTAAATGCCTGATAATATGAACTTTGACTGATATTTATGAAAGCTTTAAGCCAAGTCTTATGTTTATCAATTTCTCAAATCTGGTTGTTGTAACTTTCAGCAATACTAATCACAACAAAGTGAATTACAAAGGGAGGGAAACTTTTTCCCTTTAAACTATGATACAAAGTATAATAGCATAGACATCCTGAAAGCGTATATAATTGTGTACAGAAACTTAAAATGAAAATGAGATGAAGCTAGCTTATCATCTGCAATCAATGCCATGTGTTATTTATCATTGACGGAGAATAATACGATCTTATTAGAGCACCGATGTTGGAGCTACATCATCTCGCTCCATGCTAGTCCACAAGACCGTTGTCATCAAGGTTGGTCAATACGCAAAATTGAAAAATGGTTGGGTTTGTCAGAGCGAAAATGATAGATTGTTTCGGCAAGCTATGTTTTACAAGAGAGATATCGGTACTCTTTGTTATGGTGAATGGATTGTTGAGAAGGAGGCAGGGATGAGGGAGTTATATATTATTGAATGTAGAGGTTATGATACGGAGGAGATGTAGAGGGTTTTGATTTGAATTAGTTAAAGAATCTTAAAAAAATTACATATTGCACTAATATATTGAAAAACTTATTATAAAACTTTGAAATAAAAGAGCTAAAACTTGCACACAAGTCTATCATTTCTCTACATTGTGGAATTTCAGGATTCACGAGCAACAGAGTTGATGATTTTATAGATAATTGAAACTCACCTAAAAATAAAACAAACGTAAAATTAAAAGATTTTCACATCATTTTAAAACCATGCTTGTCGTTATTTTTTTTACCTAAATAACGTCTACCAATTACGCTTAGCAATGCAACAACGGGTTTCATATCTTTCAAATTCTCCAAAGACGATCCTTCAATCTCCGCTAAATCGCCCCATAGTGTCATCGAAATTTGATCAAACCTAAATTTTTAAAAAACATTAGTTTTCTTACCAATAATCAGTACATAATAATAAACAATAATATTAAATTCTTACTCTTTATTCATAATTATGACCTCCCTTCTTTTGGAATTGGGATTGCTAAAAATTGACTTCACAATTGTTACAAACTCAATAACATCTGCAATGGAGAAATTTTAGTGATTATTAATATGTAGAAATATTCGCATAATATTTTTTTAAAAACTTACCAAAATACATTATTCCATCATCAAAAGCAGAAGCATCTTTAAATGAAAGGAATGTTCGTTTCAACTTTTCCAATGATACAATTTTTTTTGTTTCTCGAATGATTATCTTTGTTGTTAGTGCCAACTCCATTTCTCAAATTATTTGGAGGCTTTACTTCTCCATTGGTTATAGTATACGTCTCTCCCTTTATCAATAAACGACTGAACTTTTCTATCAGCTTATTAAATAAAATTACTTGAATAAGTGTTCCCTACAAAAGTCACAATGTAGAATAAAACACATAATCATGGTAATATGAAAATTACATGGGATAATAACAATGTGAAATTCGTATCACCTCTTCATCAATTAGAATCATCTTTTGCTTATTCCCTTCTCCATTCTTAAAGGAGTATAATATTACGTAAGACACGAACATTTATACTCTATTGTTTTTGATAAATTTTTATCTCTCGGATCGGGATGTTAACTTGATCATTAGTTCCATCTTGATCAGATGACACGCTTCACGAAAAAAATATAATTTATAGAGATAATTTGGAGTTTATACCTTACAAAAAAACATGTTTTTACTAACCTTTTTGAATCACATAGTGTTGCTTCCATCTCTACCTTTTTTATTTTTTTTGTTAGAATTTGATAAGATTTTGTAAGATGGAAGTTGAGTATGGATTATATTTATATGAGATAGAAGAAACAAAAGTGTAAACAACATTTATTAAATATTATTTGTAACCGATGTCTCTTCTAAACGCACAAATAATATTAATAAAGTAGTGAGGATTATAGTTAATTGTAACTGATGTCTCTTCTAAACGCACAAATAATATTTAATAAAGGAGTGACGATCAATTATGCGTGAAATTAATATTTATAAACACACAAATAATATTTGATAAAACAATTCTATCTTATCTACAATGGTTATAGATTAATATTTATAAACGCACAAATAATATTAATTATAAAGGAGTGACGATCAGTTAATTAATAATAAAGGATATAAAGGAGTATTGAGTGATGATCAGTTAATAAAGGATATAAAGGAGTATTTATAAATATTAATTTCACACATAACTGATCGTCACTCCTTGATAATGTTATTAATTTACAACGGATATAAAGGAGTGAAGATTAGTTATGCGTGAAATATTTGTGAATTTTCAAAATATAAACACACGCATCAGTCACAAATAATTAGAGGAGTATTTATTAGATAACATTTAGTATATAGTTATGAAGGGAAGAAATAAGTTGTAACTCATGTCTTAACAATTGTTAAGGTTATGGTTTATGCATGTGTCTATATGTTTTATTGTATGTATGTGTTATGTTTGTATGTATGCCTTTAAACATAAATTTGTATGTTTTATGTATGTGTTATCCTATGTATGTATATGTTTTAACATAAATTTGAGGGCATTCTTGGAAGAAATGTTTTAACATGCCAACACACTTTTATAATAATATTAGATATGAACCTAGTACTTGGAAAAATCTTGATAACAAAGCGAGAGACATTTTAGTTGAGAAGGGATTTGACAGAGAATTGAATATTGACTTTCCATTAGACGGAGACCGTAGGCATTTTTCTTATGCACATTATTCTAGAAAATTGAGTAATGGAGAAATAAGTGATCGGAAATGGTTG